GAAATGAACTGACCCAGGGAAATAAACATATATCAACACAAAGATTAGGAGGTAGCTAATCTGAAGGATGTAGGGGATTCTACACTGGAATGAAATGAGAAGGGAGGATTAAGAAATCTTTTGAAAATGGAGCAAGTAAAAAAAATGAAACAAGAAAATCTAATTTCAAGAAATGCCATTGGAAATACAATCCTCAAAAAAAATAGTCCTGCGAGTGCAGAGAAATATTAAGCTGGAGACAAGCAATTCTACCTGGGGTGGGAGTGATGCTTGTAGTTGTGGTAGTACTGGTGATGGTGGCAGAGAGATTGGTTGGCTGGTGGCTATGTTCCACTACAACCTGTGAGGTGGGTTCGGCCTGACCCTCACGACGCTTTGCCACAACTGTAGTCTCTCTCACCTCTTCTTGTGCCACTATGGTGATCAATGAATGAGTGCCACATTGAGCCAACAAGAGTTCAACAACAAATACACATCTACTTCCCAGATATGGTGAAGGCCTCAAGATAAGACAAGTAAAAACACAAAGCAGTAAATCAATTTTCCACACTAAGGACCTTTACCAACAAAGATGAAAATATAAATCCCTATCTATCAATAATAATTCCTTGAATGTAGTTTCTTAAAGAGAAGTTGAGAATGAAACTATAAAACATTTTTCAGATCATAATATTCTGATATCCTAAAATTAAACTTTTCAGTGCTTCTAACTTTATCGATACAAAGTAAAGATGTAGCTTTAAGATTTCCTAAAATTATCTGAATATGTCCCTATCTCAACTTTTTCATCTCTGCAATATCACTGCATCTGCAAAAAATAAACCTTTAGGATTGAATACGATAGAAGGATTGAATCAGGCACAGAACAAGTGAAGAGTGCAAATTACTTCATGCCTTTAAGGGAGAAAGCGTGACCTTTTCTAAGAAAGTACACTTAACTGCATGCTATTTTGTGTATGAGAAGCATCTAAAGTTTATATTTGTATCTAAAGCCTCAGTATCTAGTGTGGATGTGTAACACTTTTCCAACACAATACACATTAAGAGTGAAATAAAATGCCCACCACCACAATCATAATGGAATGGTATCACATAAACAGTGCACATAGAAATTAACATCCTAAATCCAAACAGAACCACATTTCAGAGCTGTCAATCATCAAAATAATCTTATAATTTTGACACAAACATACAGACCAAATGGACATGATGTTTTTCATGTGCGTATTCAAGGATTTAGGAGGTTCTTATCATCATAGGTCTACATACAATGTTCAATATTGGCTAGGTAGAGGTGACACTGATGGATACTTTACAGCAGGCAAGAGGGGAGTGTTCCTACACAGGTTCGAGGCATGATCGTGCTAACCGTAAGAGTAATAATTTAAGATTAACTTCGACTCTCATGACCCCAAACCCTTGTGACGTGCACACTAACATTTACCTTCAGGTTCAACTGCTTTTCTCTTCTCCTTGAATCTCTCCTCCAACTGCTCATCCAGTCTGCCTAGCTCCTCCCCAAGTTTTAGAAGGATCTCTGACTTGTCTTCACCCTTCTCCATTCCATCAACAAAGGAGGTGGTTTTCTTCTCAATAACAATATGTTCTTTAACAGTGCCATCATCTGCAGTGGTGAATGATCTTCTTTCAGTTGTGGTCGTGGTGGAGGAAGTGGTAGTACCATCTGGGCCCGTGATGACTTCTGTCGCGGTCGTTGTCCCAGCCTTCTGAGCCTCATCCAGTGAGGCAGGGGGGACTTCTGGGGCCTTCTCCTCTAACTTTTCTGATGCATCCTTAGCCTTCTCACCAACTTCAGCAGACTTTTCTACAACCTTAACTACAGGCTTCTCCTCCACTTTCTGCTCCACCACTACTTCCTCAACCTTTTCCACCACCTTCTCCTCTGCCTTGTCCAAGACAATTGGCTTTTCTTCCTTCTTTTCAGGTTTAGGCACTTTATCTTCCACTTTTTCTGCCTCCTTTGCTGGAGGAGCCTTCTGGTCTTCCGGAACCACCTTTTCAGTGATTATTGTCTTATCCTTAGCTTCCTTCTTGGACTCAGTAACAGGCTCTGCAACCACAGAAGTAGTGGTGGTTGTTACAGTAACAGCAGATCCATCTTTCATTTCCTCCTTTGTTATCTTTTCCTCAGTGACAATCTTCTCTTCCCCAGCATATTTCTTCTCCTCACTCTCGTAGGTTGGGGACATGTCGGCTGTGTGCTGCTCTCGACGAGTCTTGTCTGAAGGTTGGCAGGAGCAACATAAATATCATCTGGCTTTATTCCTAACTTCTGAGTGTATTTAGCCTACTAGACATCAAATATCTTTAGGAGAAATATAACCACTACATTAGGATATAAGGTTATTTTAAAAGAAGTTGATATCAGTCTACTCATTGGAAAGAAAAATTCAAGAATGATATAAAAAACAATGGTAATATGAAAACTGCAATAATACTGACTAAAGTAGAATAAAAAAAAAAAAACTTTAATAATGATAAAGCATATCAATAATATGAACTCTATATACACAAAAATCTGAGTAAGAGTAAGAAAAATTAAAGCAAGAAAAATAAAATAAAATAAAACTACATTGTTCTAAGTCTGGAAAGGAGATCATATATAAATTGAGTTAATTTTTACATTTGTCAAAATAAATTCCTATCTGCAACAACTGTGAATAATCAACTAGTAAAACAAACACAACTGATATAAAAATCCTGTCTGCAATACATACACATACTTTCACACACATATAGTTATGAAGAATTTACATATTTTTACAACAAAAATTATTTACATATATTAATACAATCCAAAAGTGAATAATATATGCATATGCAAAAATGTGTATTATATACTTGAATATATATATCATATATATATATATGAAAAAAAAAATATAGACACACACACATAAATATATATAAATATATTTAATTATTATATATTAATATATATTTATATATTATATATATATATAATAATATTAATATATTAGTATATATATAAATAATATATAATATAATATGTATTATATATATATAAATAAAGGTATATAAATAAATATATTAAATATATAAAATAATAATAAATAACATAAATAAGTGCTATATATTTTATATATCTAACTAAATTATAAGTATGATTTAGCCATGTTATATATTACTTTACATAATATTACAATATATTTGTAATCTTTCTTTTAGTCTTTATTAATATATGTTTATATTTTTTCGTTACATTTATTATATATATTTATATAGTTCGATATTATTGATAGTACGTTCTCTTAACTTTGTGCGATATATCGATTAATCATGTATTCCCACTCACACCACACACACACCCACAAATACTCAACAACCGAACCACAAATTATTTATATATATGGACTACTGCTCTTTGTATGGCTCCATCGAAGTACTTTAATATAATGAGTTATATATATATATATATACGATATTATAATGAATATACTGAGTGTTGATCAGATTCTAATATCTTGTGTATATGTTTATGTATTATATGTCTATGATTTATATAAATATAGTATACATAAATATATTTACACACACACACACAACCACACCTGACACATCTCTCAACACCATTCTATTTACCATACTTACTAATACTACTATCTATAATTCTGTCATATATAAGTCTATATATATATATAATAGTATAAAAGTGGTATATAGTGTCATTTTCTTGTATTACTATATTAGTAAGGTTATATATTATATATTTTACTAGCGTATTTATATTATAATATAATAGTGTGATAATTTTCTGATACCTATAGTACTTTAATATTATAATTATGATAATATAATGTGAAATAATATCCTATATATATATATATATATATATATATATATATAATATATATAATATATATAACACATATATATATACACCATAGTGAATTGATTATAGTATGGCGAAGCGAGAAAGCTAATAGAGTATAAGGTATACTATGATATATATAATATATATATAATATATAATATATAATTATATGTAAAGATAGATTAGATATATAAACTATAGAGTATACATAAAAGTATGATGTAGCACAAAGCGAACACAGCATACACACACACACACACAACACAACACACACCACACACACACCATACACACACACATATTTATATAAGATGCATAATATAGTGATATAATAATAGTATATATATAAGAAGAGTATATATAAATAGAATAATAATATATATAGTATATATATAAATGTATATGTATATATAACATATATTATATATATTATATTACTATATACTCATAATATATAAAATGTATAAATGCCATATATATATATATAACGAGTTATATGATAGTAAATATATATAATACTATAATATATTATATATATTACCTACTAATACTATATATATAATAGGTATATATATATATATATAAATGTATATGGTATAAGTGTATTATATATCTATATATATATAAATATAAAATAAATAAATATATATATATATATATATATTATAAACTCTATATATAGCATACAGCACGCCATATATATATATAAATAATATATGTATATGGTTATAGTGTATTGTCATATGAGTACTTGTATATGTAATACATATATTATAAGAGAAGCACTTATATATTTATCTACAAGACTATTAGTAGATATATACTATACGAGCAGTGTACTACTAATTCTGTGCTATACTATTTATATATATAATCTTATTAAGTAATAACTTTTACAGATTATTATCTAATGGAAATTTTTTATTTATTTATTATTTTTATATTATACAACACACACCACACACATATAAGCACAACACTATACATATATGCTATATATATATCAATACAGCCCACTATACTATATTAAGTCAGGACTCTTACATATGATATTGTAGTGTGTGTCCCCCTGTGCGTTGTTCTGCAGAACCAACAACCCTATATAGTGAACTATTGGTACCTAGTACTCCCTCTCACCTATAACAATACGGGTCACCTGTCTACTACTAGACGAGTCTAACTCCACCCTATCGATATATATATATTATATATCATATATATAATACACACACACACAACACATATAAGAACATATACATATATTGTACTATATATATCATACATTAATATATTATATATAGTATATATGTGAGTGTACTCTACTATATATTATATATAACCCTTACTGAGTGACTAATATATATATTTATATAATAGTAGTATATATTGTATACACAAATATATGTACACTAACATAACTATGTCATCATATAATATACTCATATTTGTTATATTGTCATGTGGTGTTTGTGATTATCTATATGTTTGTAGTTCTTATGTATAGTATATATGAACTAGTCTCGATGAATCATAACATAATATCTGTATAATATATATATATATATGTATTTAGGTATTAAGTTATAGAATAGTGGCGTTTATTGCATTAGTATATAATATATATATATTATTATATATACAAATAAGTTAGAGTTATATATACTTAATATAAATTATTATACTATATATAAAATACGGTATATATGTGTATATATATACTATATAGTATATATAAATAATATATATATATGTATACATATATATATATTATATATAATATATATATTATATTATTATATACATATATATATATTTATATGTATATATATATATATATATATATATATATATATATATATATATATATATATATATATATATATATATATATATATGATGTTGTAATTTATATACATATATATATATATAATATATATATATATATATATATATATATATATAATATATTATATTTTATATAAACCATTTTTTTATATACATATATCGCTTTTAAATTTGGATTGTTCTTTTGCCTAGTGAAGAATACATAGTAGTATAAGAAGCAAGAATTTCCTAAAACTTTTGCTAAATTATTAATATAATTTTTACAGCTCTATTAATGTTGTCAATAATTTATTTAGTTTACCTACATGGTGAGGCTATGTAATTTGAGATCATGTATATATATATATATATATGTTATTATTACTAACTTCATTTACCTTTTATCATTGCCAAGCATTTGCACTATTTTAAGTAACTTAGAAACATACAAAAATGCTGCATGCATTTTTATTTTTTTAAGAGTATATATATATATTTTTAATATGTTAAGCATGAGTCTATATTCAAATTTAACACTAACAGCATGTGGCTGAGTATAAAGAATCTGAACATTGCCTATGCATTAAATTTTGCAACTTGAACAGCATCACATAAAATACATAGCACACTTTTCTTTTGTGTGAATAAGTTTATAAAGAATAATGAAAGATAAGCTGCATGTAGCATAGAGCGGATATGGTTAGTTATTCTTCCTGTCTGAATAGACTAAAAACTTTGGTTGTATTATGGTATGCTGATACTTTTAAATGTCTTATATTTTTCTTCATTTTATGTATAAGACTAATATACATATTTTATTACACTATTTTGGAGACATGACATGACATGTCCAAATTCAGACATTATGCAAATGCTTACTTTCAGTAATACCACATATGCACACTCGTCAGTACTTAAAATATCAATAAGTAATCTAAACCTATCAACCGTCAAAAACAGAAAAATATGAAGGAAGGAAGTAAGGGGGGCGGGGAAGATGAAAAAATAAAGAGATTAAACAGACAATCAAATCAGACTTTCTCCACTTAACCACTAAATCAATCCCTGAAACTGAGCTAATATCAATGGGATACATAGGTATTTCAAACTTAAAATATTATGATACATGGATCAAATATATTTACAATATGAGCGGTTCAATATCTCAACAATCAATTTAACAGTATCTTAATTTCACATTGGCATTTTCAGTGACTAAAAAAAAAAGAAAAGAAAAAGTAAAAGAAATTCTGCAGACAGATCTGTATTTCATATAATCTGATCATGTTTACTCCTAATATGGTGGTTCTTCTCAAATCCTTGTAACTAATGTCTAACATTCTATACTTAGCTCATAAGTTAACTGAGAATGGGTGGAGGGTGTGGAGCGCATCTGGCTGTTCTGTATGTATTATTCATGTCTTGTCTCTATTTGGTCTTGAGGCCAATGTCTGATATGGGTTTATCAACAGCAATCAATCAACATATTGTAATAGGAAGTGAACATAAAATGAAATGCTTTTTGAATCCCAGCTGCTGTGCTGATAAGGAGAACACAAAAGATGATTGTTTGGGGTTTATAACACCCCAAGTTCTTTTGGGGGTTTTATCGTGTGGCTGTAGTCTAGGAGGTGCCATAACTAAGCATGTTCCACTTCTGCTTTTACTCTATCAAAAAACTGTACTGAAAAATATAAATATTTCTGCTACTCTGATAAATGTACATATAATATTTAGCTTCATGTGAGAGAAACGCTTTACTTTATATAAATTAGCAAACAGTTCAGTTACGACCTTTCCTAAATTACAATACCAAAAAAGCAATGCAGGCTGAATCAGACCACTTACAATCTTGGCTCTCTAAAAGGGAACTACATGAGGATAGTAATAACTACAACAAGAAGAGTATAATTGCTACAATGATAAAAAGTAACCTATACTATCCACTGCTCATGAACAAGTCTACTGGCGTGAGGGACAAAGTCTGGTTTGGTGAGGTAGAATTTTGTATCAAGAAAGGTTTCATCTTGTACTCCGATTACGTTGTAATAATAAATATGTCTACACTACAATCAGAGAGACAATAGGTTATATCTTTTAATAAATAAAAGCATAGAAATAAAGAATAGTTACCCTGGTAACTTCTTTGGTTTTCTTCCTCTTCTTCAGCACTTTCCGCTTCCTGTTGAAGGTCATAAATAGCATTAAAAGCAATGAAAATTAACAGAGGTGAGACATATCCTTTTCTATATACCAAAAGATTAATTCAAATTCATCTTTAATGTTCATTAATAATTAACATCTAGCTGGGTGAATATCTCATTACACTTGAAAATATCTGGTGGCGCTTTTATTTCCCAAACCTGTGATGATATATAGGTGTTCTCGTTCACAAAGACAATTAAACATCAATAAGTATATTAGTAAAAATTGGAACATACACTTGATAAAAGGATATCACAACATTTAATACTTGACATCTTTTGAACACAGATGAGCAAGAATGACATATGATACAGTTTTTTTTCTCTCTCTCACTCACCCGCAACTCCTTGAGGCGCTGCAAAAAGCAAGCGTGCAAAAGCAACATATGTAAGGCAACATCAGACAATAAAGAAAATGAAAAAAATAACAGTTATAAAAAACAGCACTCATTAGCACCCTGGACTAAGACTTGAAAACATGAAAACTTTTCTACTATCTGAACATCATTTTCTTTTCACCACATATAAAAAATTATTCTTTCTCAAATCAAGAATTTGGACATTTTATTTCTGACTTTCCAATTAATGGAAAGATCATTGATAAAAATACATTGCATTGTCTTAATTCATTTGTAACATGAAAATCTGTGGTGAAAAGTAAGTCTCACAAATTAAGATTTATGGGTTAAATGGTAGTATTGGGTTTTAGAGACTATAATTAAGAGCACTGTTTAGGAACACCAACATTTACATATACTAGGGATTATCCAAAAGACAACAGCTTTAGGTCTAATTATATCACATCATTCAATGTGTACTGGTGTGGTAATGAATAGCGCTCCATTTTACTTTTCGTATTGTTGTTTCGGCTCCTCAGTTGTGGCGGAATTTTAGACTACAAAATCAGTATACAACCTAAAGATACAACATGAGTACGGTCCGTATCCTATCTGTATTACAGCTGCCTTATTTCTCTTCTTTGTATATAATCTTGACATAACTGAATCTGTTTGTTTATTTTCTTCATCATTTTGTTTCTTACCTTCATGGCAATCTAATAGCTCTTACTGCGTAAGTTTCTCGTTAGCTACTACACCACTCTGTCCCAAGGCTATGAGAAGTATGTCTCAAGCCTCTCAGATTATTTACTATCGCCTCTGTTATTACGTTTTATACAGCCATTTTGACCGGCAACAAAATCAAAAATCTGTTATACATGCTGTTCTGTAAAGTGTCCACGGTGTGAGAAAGGGAAGAGAGAGAAAAGATAGAAAAATCTTTTCTCATCATCTGCGATTCAAATACTTCTCTCTCTCTCTATAGCGAGTGGACAATAGAACGTGACTAACGACTCGTACTGAGCTCTCTCATCCGAGATCTCTTCATCGATCGTACCTCTCATCTCTCTCTCTCTGACGTGAGACTCTCTCTCCTCTCTCTCTCTCTCTCTTTCTTTCTTCTATATCCTTTTCTTTTCTTTCTTTTCGTTCTTCCCTTTTTTCGTTCCTATTTTGTTTGTTGTTGTTTCTTGCATATTTTTTTTGCTTCTATTTGTGTTCTTAGTTTGGATTGCCATAAGTATTGTATGACTAGCTAGTGCTTATTGAACGATTACCTCCTAGATATCTGGTATAGATTACCTTGAGTATATTTTTGGATGTTTGATGTTATGCCTGCTCATCACACCCCTTCCTCATTATGGCATTCCCGTCCTGGTGCTGTACCTCCATTTTCATTCTCGTCTATGTACTGGCCCTTGAGTTCATTGGATTTCGAATTCTCTGCCACTCTTTCGTGATCGCAGACTTCGAAGCCGGACGAGTGAGTTAGACTCCGAGCAGACGTGCTATTTGATTGACGCAGTATCGCGCACCTCTCTCCGCGTAGAGCGATTGATTATTCCTGATGAGAATACCCCCGAGAGATCCGGGAGAAGAGAGAGAGAGAGATCCTGATTCCTGATCATGATTAGAGAGGAGAGAGAGAGAGAGGAGATAGGGATAGGGATAGGGAGAGGGGAGATTGGAGAGATGAGAGAGAGAGAGAGAGAGAAAGAGAGAGAGAGAGAGAAGAGAGAGAGAGAGAGAGAGAGAGAGAGAAAGAGAGAGAGAGAGAGGGGGGGAGATGGAGAGAGAGCAGGAAAGAGATGTGGAAGATATGTACGGAGGTGAGCATGAAGAGAAGAAGAAATGACAGAGACAGAGAAGCTACATTTTAGAATAGCACATCAACAGGCTGAAAAGAAAAAAGAAAAAGAAAAGAAAAAATATCGCATTATACTCACTTTCATCATATCTTGCTCATCATATGAAACATCAAGGGAGACATCTCGATTCAGTGTGGTGTCTCTTGATGGTCCTAGCTCATAGCGGAAAGCGTCGAAGCCAGACTGGTCTAGATGAGCTTTGGCCATTGCTCTTTCAATGTCATCTGTGACCAGTTCAACGTTAAATATGCACTGGTTCACAATGTCATCACGGCCAATCTTACGCAGTCCCTTCTCCAGAGTGTTACCATTTGCCTGTAAAAGATTTCATTTAAAATAGGAAAACCACCAGTCTGTGAGTACCATTTATTACTATCTGCCTCAGTAGATTACATACCTTATGATGTACTCATATAAATTGCTAGCAAATGTAACTGAAATAAAACTTACAGATTCATATTTCAACTCTGTTATATATTCCTTTTACACTACTTCAATATCTATATAAATATGTAAATTCAACTACTAGAATTAGTTTACCTTATTCCCCGATGTCTGCATCCACAGTCTGAGCATGACAATTGCTTGTTTCGGGGCATTATCTGGGTACTGAGATTTGATGATGTTAATATCAGAGTCACTAATCTCCAATTCCCGGGCTAGGCCAACCCAGTCAGTTCCAAGCATGTTAGAGATGTCTGTGAGACGTAGGTCAGCTTTGTGGATGGTGTCAGCTTTGCCTAAAGAAGATAATAATACTCGTTATTAGCATAAATATTGAGATTTGTTCTGAAGTATACAGCTTTCCCTCAAAGATATCAAAATACTGTTTTCTTGCTGCTCATAGCCACTTTCCTTACATTAAGAAATTGATAAGGAATTATTTGTATATAATTTTCCCTTCAAGGCATGCTTTTAATTCATAGAAAACACCTGTTAAAGATTTCAAATTATATAACAACTTCCAGGCATCTCCATTATTATATGTGCATTCTTACAGATACACTTTTTACATGTAATATCATATTACTTTTAATAATAAATTTAATCCAAATGACAGATCAAACAGGATAAAAAATAAAGTTACTAAATGACAATTGTGAACAAAACCCAAGGAAGTGTACAAAAACTCAACATTCATTGTTATGGTCAATTTTGTATTGAATGTCAGTTATCTGAAACTATCCAGTATTAATATAAAACATACTGGCCATGGCAGCTATGTAAGCAGGAACCTAATGAGGAGTCAATAATCACATACTCAAATTGTAAAGCATTAATCTGTCTTCAGCCATATGTGAGTGGTTCCAGTGCAGTCCCATTATATTTCACACACTACTGATACTCACACATTTCTTTTTTTGGATGATGAGGCTCACGTCTCTTCAATTCCAGCAATATATAGCTTTATTTATATTTTTTTTCCACAGGATTGGGCTAGTGATCCCCATGTTAAGGAGAGGCAGTTAAGGCCAAGATTAGCTATTATTTTGATTAATAAACTACAGACATGAGACACTGGTAACATAAACTACAAAATTATTCTTGTGAAAGGTTAAGTCACATATACTAAAATCTTGAGCCAAAATCAAATTAAATCTGGGGTATATAATATAACAATCCATAAAGGAATTAATAGACCTGACTAGGATTATGTGGCAGTGTGTGAGGACGGGTAAATAATAACAGTCCACAGACAGAAAAAATATTGCTGTGGCTATTAACAAAATAGTTTTCAAAAGGGAGCCATTCCTTTTGATGGAAAGTTAGTCAGAAATAATAGTTACAGTAACTCGATGCACAAAATGTAGCATTGGTACACAGTTCACTATGCAGGAACAGAATCTAACATATCTTAGGACAACTTAATTGCATAGAATAGAAATTTTGGAAAGTTTGACATCAGAAACATATCAACTTCCATTCCATTTCTATCAATAACCCAATAAATAATCTTAATAAGAAAGGAAGGCAGCTTTTCTTCACAAATTCTGTACCTGTCAAAGAGTAAACAAAAAGAAGCATCCACAATACACTGGTAATGGGTTGAGGAAAAAGGATTTTGAGACAGAGACAGTAGCTACTCACTAATGGAGAGGAAGGAGTATTTCTTCTCCAGGGCGAGGAGGTCAGGTTCTGAGGGCGCAGGCTCAGGCTGGATGTTGTCAGGCAGGGCAATGTTCAGGTTACAGATGGGGGTCTGAGGGGGGTCACCACGCCCAACCTGAAACACAGGGGGTTTTAGCAAGCTCATTAGCGAGGCCTTCTTCCAGCGCCCATCCTGGAAGACCAAAGGGAGAGCAGGGCACCATGTTTTAGAGCAAGCTAGTTCTGTTGTAATTAGTAATTTATATACTCACACATGATAGGTACTACATTTCATGAATGTAAATATTTCAACACTACCATACTTTGTGAGTGTGTGTGTGTATGTTGTAATTATGCAAAGCATTTATGCGAAATTAGTATAAACTGGTAAGCCTGTTTAGATATCCACTTAAATTACAGAAATACATTCATATATCAAATATTCCAGTGTAGCCATACACACGTCCAGACAAGCACAAGCACAAGCACACACAAGCACACACACACACACACACACACACACACACACACACACACACACACACACACACACACAAGCAAAGTGATCTTGCTCTTTTCTTTTGTTCTTAACTGCTTTTGTCAATCATTAATCTCATATCTACTATAAACAACTTACAAATTATGACTTTCAATGAATAATATACTGCATACCACCATACATCTTGCATCATGTAATTACACTACACGCCTACCTTGGGCTGTCGCATGAAGGCCACCCTTCCGATGGGATCTGCATGTTGATCCTTCACACGTACGGTAAATGGAAGGCGATTTTCACGGAAGGCGTAGAAGTTGAATGCAAGCTGGTCCCCTGATTTAGTGACTGGAACTAAGTTGCCAGCAAATTCAAGGTACTGAGGCTTACCCTCCAACACTTCTACATCTCGTGATTTAGCAACCTGATGTGAATTACATCTTTATTAGGGGAAAAACACTTTTTTTTTTTTTTTTTTTTTTTTTAAAGGCTATGACAGATGGGTATCTACACTGGTCTAGAGATGAAGGTTAACTGACAAGTAATAAATATGATAGGAAACTTAAAACAATAAATAAATAAAACAGTTTAGCTTAACGTATGTCTCACTAGTCAGTAACATAAAAATACAAAGACAAAGATCCGCTGTACATATATATTTTTACACATTCATATATATATATATAAATAACATACATACATATATACATACATACATACATATATATATATATATATATATATATATATATATATATATATATATATATATATATATATATATATATATGTATGTATGCAGAAATATATAACTAATAAGGTGAAACAAAATCATACTATTTTCTAATACTTAAAATAAGAGTGAATCTTTTGCTGAAACCACTTTCACTAACTTACCTCAACAAAGAGCTCCTGCTGCTCGAGAGTCTTGTCCTCTCTGTCATCCGTCATACAGAACACCCGCACTCTTGCCTCCTCCAACTGATGTCTCTTGCTAAAGACTACAAACTTAGCCATAAATGGTACATGGATGGCTTCCCTATATAGCTCGGTGGCCATTTTGGTCGCCTCAGGTATGTTACTACAATCCATGAGCCAAAATCGGGCGGAGACAGTGGTGGTGAAGCTGACGCAATCGTTGACAAAAGTGAGAGGTGTTGAGCCCGTCACGTCCTCCCACTGAGCGCGGGTTGTTCCGCCTGTAAATGCCTCTTGTTAGTGACCACAAACTTTGGTGCATAACATTTACAAGTATTTTTTTTGTTTGTTTGTGACTGAGATAATCTAATGACTAAAATACAGCCTTGTGATTTATAAAATACTTATATCTTTATACTTTTTGACTATTAACTAAATCTTACTAAAATATCTTATGCAAAAGTTAATTACTTTTAAAACTATTTCATCACACAGGAGATGAATTCAAAACTTGAAGAATCCTTGCTTTCATATCAGACTAAGAAAAATAAACTATCTACAACAATGATGTACATAAATATAGTACAAAAGGTAGTTAACATCTAAAAAGACTAACAGTTATTATTCTATAGCCATAATGATCATAGTAACAGTAATTATTACAATTATAAAAGACTTTAAACTATAATGAAAATCAAATTAAATTCTACAAATAGATGATAATGAACTCAATTATAATGACAATAAAAAACAACAACAATAAGGAAACATAAAGACTAAAAAATTACCAAAAACAATCATATCATCAGTAATAAAGACACCAATACCATTAACAGTAATAAAAGATATAAGACTGTAACAAATGATAGATAAATATATCAGAATCATAATAAAACATTATAATAGCATCAATTATAACAATAATAAAAATAACAAAACTAATAATAAAAATCATATTAACATAAACAACAACAACAATAATGATACTAACAATAACATCAATAAATAATAATAATAATAATAATAATAATAATAATAATAATAATAATAACAATAATAAAAACAATAATAATAACAATAACAACAACAACAATAATAATAATAACCATATTCAAAATTATCAATAGTTCTAGCACCAACACTTTATCACTATGGTCACTATCTCATGTAGAATAAAAAAAGCTTATTGTAAAAGAATGAAAAACTATATATATATATATATACTGTATAATATATATATTTCTACAACTAAAAAAGTGAAACAAGCACTACTCTAACATGACTTCTCTGTGAACATGGTATACACATGCCATCAATATTACTCATTCTAACAGAAAAATAGATGAGAATCCAACTAAAAGAAAAAGGAACCAAAAGAGAAAAAGAAAATGATAACAGTGAAAAAAGT